GAGCGGAAGTAGAAGAACAAAAACGGAAGATGGGAAGGCGCCCGCACTCCTCCCCGCCTGCCCTCCACTTCTCCCCGGGCGCTCCCCCACTCCTCCCAGTGGAGGAGAGGGGGACGGCTCGGGCGCCTTTCCATCTTCCGTTTTTGTTCTTCTACTTCCGCTCAGCGCTCTAGACCAATACCCTATAGCATGCACAAGAGGACCTCCCTGGGACTCGAAGTGTCATTACTGAAACAGCAGGTGTGTCTGGCACACCCACCCGCCTCCTCGCCTAACCTGCCTGCGGCACGCGCCGTCGCGCGAAGCCTGTTACGCTGAAGCAGGGTGGCCACGCAATCGGAGCTATCAAATTCCCTGACTTTTCCCTGACCTTTCCCTGACTTTTTAGGCAAATTCCCTGACTTTTAAAGGTTTTTTAAGTGTAACTTTTTGCCTCCCCAAAAATTGAAAATGCCACCGAGAGTTTAAAAATAACAATTTCGAGCAAGATTCAGTCATTTTCCCTGACCAACGTTCAATTTCCCTGACTTTTCCCTGACTTCCCTGACCAATATTTTTTTCCCTGACTTTTCCCTGACTTCCCTGACTTCCAGGTTGCGTGGCCACCCTGTGTAGTCTCTACAACTAAACTACATCGATTTCGCAATGCGTTCCCTGACTTCCAGGTTGCGTGGCCACCCTGTGTAGTCTCTACAACTAAACTACATCGATTTCGCAATGCGCACGGTTGCCGTTCCGTCTTTACATCAGTCTCACCGGTGCGAACGTCACCGCGGGGGCTCAAGAGGCCGTTCACAAATGACGTCACGCACCCTTTGGGGAAGAGGGGGTTGTTGCAAGCGTGACCAAATGTGACGATGGAAAGGGGGGGGGGGGGTTCAAGGCTTGTGACGTCACGTTTCGCTGACTTGCATTGTCTGTTCAAACTACGCTAATTTTACCATGTCATGAGGTATTAATAAAGCATTCTGGTAAAGCTGAAATGCAGAAGAATGCGGGGAAGAAGAAAACGGAAATCGCTATACACTCTAAGAAAAATTACAGTTTTTTGTATCCAATTTGATATAGTTTTCTGTATCCGATCACTGTGATACAGCAATATGTATCGGTGATA